TTGTCGTTAATGTCCTTCACCTCCACCTCCACGTGGAAAACCTGCAGCGGTCTGTCCACGATCACCTCCAGGTGGATGCTGCACTCCGCGCTCCGCCCGCACAGCTCCTCCCGGTCGACCCGAGAATTCACAAACAAAATGCCATTCTGCAGATTTACCTCCAGAAGGTCCCCGCGCTCCTTGGACGCCACCCGGAACAGGCGCGGCACCAGCTCCGCCAGCTCCAGCCCCAGGTCCTGCGCGATGCGGCCCACGAAGGTGCCGTGTTTGGCCTCCTCGGGGATCGAGTAGTGGAGCTGGCCGCTTCCGGCCTCCCAGGCTGCCAACAGCAGAAGCGACTGCAGCAGACACTGCCTGACCCCTCGACCCCTTCCCCTTCTCAGAGAAGACACCATTACTAATCTGAGCAGGTTGATCAAATTAAAGGATCATGTTTCGTAAAAATTTAAACATTCTACTGTCCTCTTCAGCCCCGCTGCTTCTCCTAAGGCTGCGCTTACCTAGAGGAACAAAGGAGCTCTGGGTAGTTTCCTTCCTGGGAGCATTCTTTGGTACACAGCGACATCATGTGGCTAAAACATAGTTTCTACTGTTATTTTAACCATGTTTAAATGTATAGTTTCTCGTGTTGACTATGTTTACCTTGTTGTGAATTTTTCATGTTGTACAATGAAACTCTTATCCATTAGACAGAATCAGCATCTCCTGACATCTCTCCATGGAAGCCACCATTCTACTTCTGGTTCTATAAATTTGACTACATTAGATAGCTCATAAGTGAAATCATGCATTCATGCATGTTTGTTTTTTGTGACTAGTTTACTTGTTTTAGCAGAGCCCCTGAAGTTCAATCCTTTTGTGACATGTGACCAGATCCCTTTCATTTTTTAAGGCTAAGCAACACTATTGTGCTACATTTTGCATTCATTCAGCTGTCCATGGACATTTTGGTTGTTTCCTCCTCTTGGCTATTATAAGTAGTGTTGCCTGAAACACAAGTATGCAAATATCTCTTGGAGATCCTGGTGTCATTTCCTCATTTTTTTTCATACTGGGGATCAAACTAGGGTCCTTGTGCTTCAGAGGCAGGCAGCAGAACCACTGGGCCAAATCCCCAGCTCTTGGTTTCATTTCTTTTGAATATACTGCCATGGTTTTTTATCATTTCTTCAAAAGAAGCACATAGGAATCAAGGAGTACTTTACTTCATTAAAAACCTATATAATACTGGTATAATCTGTTGTTATTTATAACTTAATTCTTATTTTTGAATTTTCAAATTAATAAGTTTATCATTTGAATGTTATTAATCTAGGAATACTTTTTCTATTACATTTATTTTTCAATTTTCAATTTTTTGGATCTTTGTTTTGTTTTGTTTTTTTGTTGTTTGAGAAGGTTTGTTTGTGTTTTGGGGATTTTGGTTTTAGGGTTTTTTGTTTGTTTTGGTTTTGGTTTTTTGAGACAGGGTCTCACTATGTAGTTGAGACTGACCTGGAACTCACGATGTAGCCCAGGCTGGTCTTGAACTCCCAGAGATCCTCCTGCCTCAGCCGCCTGAGTGGGGATCACAGGTGTGCGCCACCATGCCCAGCCTTCAATTAATTCTTAATTGGCCTCTCCACATGCAAAATATGAAAGCAGCATAAACATAATATGGGAGTGAAATATAATGAATCAAGATGGTCAATGTATAAAAAGCATAACTGGGGCTGGGGATTTAGCTCAGTGATTCCACCCACTGCCTTGTAAGTGCAAGGTCCTGAGTTCAATCCCTGGCAGAAAAAAAAAAACACATAAAAAGCATAATAAGGGTCATTTTCAGTTATCTTAAGACTATCTCAAATTTTTAATCATCTTACAGCAAAGAGGAAAACAAAATTGCTTGTAAAATTTATACTGTCCATAAAAAGAAAAAAATTGTGAAATAAAAAGTAACCTTTCCTGATGCTAGAACTCAATGATAATTTGGGTTTTTTTTTTTTTTGAGACAGGGTCTCACTATGTAGTTGAGACTTTCCTGGAACTCACTATGTAGCGCTGGTCTCAGACTCACAGTGATCCTCCTGCCTCAGCCTCCCGAGTGCTGGGATTACAGGCATGAGCAACCATGCCCCGCTGTTTCAATGATAATTTTTATATAGAGTCCAAAATCTTAAGATACTTATTCACACTTTCTATAGATGTGTACATATTAATAATAGTTTAACAATGAATCCCAGGTAAACTTTAAAAAAAACAGAGTATCAATTATTGGCTTATACTTGGAAATAGGTAATTATTTGCTGTTTTCACACAGAACTTGAGCTATCACAACCTAATAATGTCACAAAGGAACTATCTAGACACTTCTAACTGTTTTCCTTTGTTGACCTTCTCAGGTAGTTTTCCCATATATGGCAAAATAGCCAAAGTAGCTTTTAGTCTACATATCACTGGTTCTATGACTCTCAACATAAAGTATCCCTTTCTTCATAGTTCAAAAAAATCCTACACATAATTTCCTATGAACCAGTTTAAATGATGTTATCTTTCCTTTCAAGAATAATTCTGATGGATATCCCATTAGCCAGACATGAGTCATTTGTTCATTCCTGAAGCCAGGAGATGAAACTAGCTCCATTTAAATTATATAGGGGTTGGTTCTTCTGGAGGCAATGGCATGTGCCCAAATTCTTCTGAAGCTTAAAATCACTGAAGGTAATTTAGGGTTTGTCATCAGAGAATTACACAGTTGTAATGTGATTCCATGTGCATGATTCCCAAAAGTTTATACAACCAGTGACCAACATATTCACTGTTGATATATTAAGGAATTATACCTAAGATACAAATGTTAGGTCCAAGAAACATTGCTTGCTTGAGGCAATTTTTACAGTTACATAAACCAATTATGCTGGGATTTTAGAATGACACTTACAGGGGTATAATAGGCATTTTGAACTATTATTTGGGGATTGTGAGGACTAAAATTAGCTCTTTCCCTCTCCTATACAGCTAGCATACTATTGCCTGACTTGCAAGCACATTTTCTCCAATGGGGAAAGAAGAGTGAAAAGCCGTGCTCAGCAAATAACACTTTTCCTGACCCTCAGTGTCACCCTCACTTACATTTCTTCACATCTGTAGTGGGTTTAATAGTACCCCAACATGTATCTATACCAAGAAATTCAGGATGCAAACTTGTTTGTAATAAAGGCCTTTGCATTTATAACTAAGACAAAGATATTAATATAAAAGCATCCTACTTTAGGGTTGGCTATAATCCAATGACAATTGTTCCTTGTAAGAGACATAAAAAGACAGATGGTGACATAATAAGAAGATATAAGTAAAAGACAGAGATTTGAGTTATGCTGCCACAAGTCAAAAAATGCCAGAAACTAGCAGAAACTACGAGAAAGAAGTTGACCCCTTGAGTCTTAAGAGGGAGCATGGCCAAGCTGATATCTTGATTTTGAACTGCTGCCCTTTAGAACTGTGAAAGAAAAAAATTCTTTGTTTCTAGGCATGATATTTGTGGTAATTTGATACAACAGCCCAAGGAAACTAAAACAGTATCCACTTCTTCAATTGGACCATTGGACCATTTGCATTTACCAATGGAAACTAAGTTTTATAATGCTTACAAGTCCAAGCATTCAGCCAGACATGGTGGCGAACACCTATAATCCTGGCACCTGAACCCAGCATGCAGGATGCTGTGACAGCAGGATTGCTGCAAATTCAAGGCCAGCCTGGGCTACATAACAATCCTATCTCAAAAACAACAACAGAAAAAAAATCCATGCATTCCTTTTCATAAAACTTTCAGCTCAGATATTCACAACACTACTACAAAGACCTTAAAGAAAAAGAAAAGTAGGAGAAATGGATGCTAAGCAAGAAAAAAAAGAAGTACCTATGACATTTTAAATTTCAGATCATTTTTATTTCACACTAATATAAAATCACAATTTTTGAAATCATGGTCATGAAACCAAAACTAATCACTAAAGTGAAATAAGCCAAAAGAATTCATGCTTTATCAATACTTTGCTAAATTCAATGATAGATTTGCTTTCATTAGGGCATTTGAAAATTGGAACACAAAAATACAAACATAACACTGTTATCCTTAATATATACAGCACAATTTGCTTATTTTTCTGATAGACAATAAGCTGATAACTTTAATAGAAAATTTAGAATAACCAAAATTAGTCTGATTGTGCAGTAATGATGATAATCTGGTAGTAAGATGTCACACTTTATAGTATCACCTTTTAAATGATGTTATTTTTAAATGGATACATTTCCTAAGTGAGTATCTAATTTAAAATTAAAATATATGATGGAATAAAAGCACAAAGAACAAATTTTACCATAAATCTATATTATTCTATGCTTTTATAAATGCTAAAATAGTAATGAATAACAAGCAGATCATATGAAAGAACATGTAGATACTAGGAAAATAAAGTACCTGGCAAATCACATAAAGAATAAGAGATGAAGTAATAAATTTCATGGAATAAATCATGTGAAGAAAGGGAAACCCTTTGAACGTTGTATTCTAAAAGGTGTATATGAAGATTCTGAATGAAGCAGAAACATTAGCTACCAATTGAAAATCTACTCATATTTATGTTAAGTAAATGCTAGGTAACAGTACTACTCCACATTCATCTTTTCCTTCATTCAAGAATACCTTTTCATAAACAAATATCACTTTTTAAACTTTGCAACTCTAAATCCATGTTTCTGCTTTAATAGTATTTAATTGATATTTACATTGAGCTACATATATATGGAAATTAACAGTATAACTCAACAGGGCTGAGGATTTAGCTCAGTGGTTCTGCCACCTGCCTCACAAGTGCAAGGTCCCAAGTTCAATCCCTCATACAAAATAAATAAATGTATATATATTTTTAATTACATGAGCTTCAAAGAATCAACAACTGGGATCTCATTTAAAAACTTCTTTTTTTTTTTTTTTTTTTTGGTTTTTTGAGACAGGGTTTCACTATGTAGGGGAGACTAACCTGGAACTCACTATGTAGCCCAGACTGGTCTCGAACTCAGTGATCCTCCTGCCTCAGCCTCCCAAGTGCTGGGATTACAGGCATGCGCCACCACGCCCAGCTTTATTTAAAAACTTCTGCCAACAGAGCTAAGAGACAACCTATAATGTGAGGAAAAAATTCTATCCGATGTTCCTCAAAGAACTACTATCTAGAGTATATAAAGAACTTTAAAAACTCAGACCCCCCCCAAATATAAAGATCCAATTCAAAAATGGGCACCTGAAATGAACAGACATTTCTCAGACAAAGAAGTGAAAACAGCAAATAACCATATGAAAAAATGTTCAATATCACTGGTCATTCAAGAGATGCAGATGAAAACAACACTGAGATTCCACCTCACCCCACAAAGAATGGCTGCTATCAAAAAATCAACCAGTAACAAATGCTGGTAGGGTTGGGAGGACAAAGGAAACCTTCTCCATTGTTGGTGGGAGTGCAGACTGGTGCAACCACTGTGGAAATAAATATGGAGATCCCTCAAAACACTAGGATTAGAGCTCCCACTTAATCCAGCTATTCCTCTGCTGGGTATTTTCCCAAAAGAATTAAAAGAATCATTCCACAGTGATTATATGTACACATGTTTATAGCTATGTTTATAGCACAATTTGTAATGGCTAGAGCTTGAAAACAGACCAATTGCCCATCAACTGGAGACTGGATCAAGAAGATGTGGTTTTGTTTGTAAAATATAAAATGAAGTTACTCAGCCATAAAGAATGAGAAACTAGAGACATTTATTGCTAAATGGATGCACATGGAGGCCATATTCTTAAGTGAAATAAATAGGACATACATATGTAAATACCAAATAGTTTCCCTGGTGTGAGAATCTAAAAGTGTAAATAAGGATCAAAATGTATAATTGATACTGTGAAATAGAAAAAAAAGGTCTAAATGGGGTAGGGGAAGTGCGAGGGGTAGGGAAAAGGAAAGAAGAGAAAGAAAAAATATGACAAAAGGAAAAAATGGAAACAAAATCTTGTAAATAAGAAGGGGTGGAGGGGGTGAAGGGAGGGCAGGGGAATTGGAAAAAAATAAGAACCAAGATACATCATGTAAAGCTACAAGTTCCCAATGGTGAATATAACTGCATTGTATACCTAAAATGTACCAATAAAGTTAATGAAAAAAATTACATATGCTTAAAAGTATTCTGTTTATTGCTGTCTTGGAAATCTAGCTGATGATTTCTGTAAAATTGCCCAGTTATTTGAGCAGAACTTGACATTTCACTAGGGAATATACCTAATAAGTAAACATTAAAATATCAGTGGATTTGACCTCTGTATTAAACATGATCATCATTGCAGCTTATTTAGCATGTGTAAAGCCCTAGGTTGAGGCCCAGAACTGCCCTCCCAAACAACAGTAAAACTGAAGTATTTTTAAAATTTCCAACCATGTAAATCAAGGAATATAATTCTTTGCTCCTGTATTTTTGTTTCTTAGTTCAATTCAAGACACATCTGCAATTAATAAAATGTCTGAATTAGAGCATTATATCTGTAATGCCAGCACTCTGGGACATTTTGGTTTGATTTGATTTTAGGTACTGGGATGGAAGACAAGAAGATCAAAAGTTCTACACAGTCTGGCCAGCATATCAACTTAGTGAGACCGTGTCTGAGGATGAAGGTCCTGGGTCCAATCCAGAAAGATGAGCGGGGCATGAAAGAAAGGGGGAGGGAGAGAGGAAAAAGAGAAGGAAGAATACAGAATATCTACACTAAATGGTAAGATTTGTTTCCCTGTTAGTGAATACCTTAAATTTATTAAGTAACATTTGAAAAGATGATTAGATAAGTTAAATCTAAGAAAGAAATTTGAGCTAAAGCTCAAATTTGGACTTACATTAGCAGAAAGATTCGAATTTGCTTCAGTATATTCATTTCTTTCAGACGTGCTCAAACTTGGACAGAGGCCGGGGCTGAAGGCCATGAGGTCCGTCTTGGGCGGGCCCTCCCCAGAGCACAGCCTCTGCCCCCTCTGCTGCGAGCAGGACCAGCTACCCACCGCGCTCGAGCAAACCAGCGTGGGCTTGCCAGGCCCGCACGCGCTCTCCGTGGGCGCCGCCGAGCAGCGCAGCGCCGTGTACAGCAGCAGCGTGAGCACCAACAGGCTGGACACCGCGCAGATGGCGATGATCAGGTACACGTTCACATCCACCACCGCC